GAGTTTATGATTGCCTTGGCGTAGTTTCTTGTGCTCATTGTTTATCACCATTGTCTCATAGTTTCTTTCGCCCATTGTTTAACTATACATCCTTGCATTTATCACTTGTGTATATCATATTGATAGGATATAGTTAATAAGTTTTGATTTGGCATTAATATCAGATTAGATTAGCAATTATTCTATTCACCTTCACCCCCTCTAGGGTACTTTTATTTCTTTCACAAATCAGCCTCCAATCATAAGAGAAAGAATTTCATTCCTAATCTTATGGTCCAAAGCAATCTCCTCACCTCAGAACAAACAAACAACAAGCCTTCTGTGATTATCTTTCTAGGCTCTTTTCAGCCAAAGAAAAATCCTTGTATGAAGTTGATTGGTCTCAATTGTACCCTCAAGACCCATCAGACCTATCCATTCTAGAATCTCCCTTCACTTAGAAAGAGATTAAGGTAGCTATTTTCGGACTTCACCAAGATAAGTCCGCAGGGCCAGATGGTCTCTCTATTCTTTTTTCCCAAGAAGTTTGGTCCCTTACCGAAAATGACATCTTTTCTTTCTTTCAATCCCTTTTTAATGATGCTTATCTCCTCCACAGGATCAATTACTCTTTTATTTCCCTAATTCTTAAGATGGAGGGAGCATGCAATCCCAAGGACTTTAGACCAATTAGTTTGTTTAACGGTATTTTCAAAATCTTCACCAAGGTTTTAGCTAATAGACTTAGCCCTTTTCTCTCTCCCCTTATAGAAGAGACTCAATCTACTTTTCAAGGAGTTAAGTCTAACTTGAATTCCATCCTTCTAGCTCGTGAGATGATTCATCACTGCTCCTCTTGTAAGAAAGAAATTAGTGTCATCAGGATAGACTTTATGAAAGGTTTTGAATGTGATAATTGGGATTTTCTTGTCTCCCTATTTAAGGCCAGAGGTTTTGGCCCTAAATGGTGTCACCAATATAGATGGTTAAAATAGATCTCTATTCGGAACAATATTTAGCTTAGATCAAAGAAGTAAACATTTGTAGGCTAAAACACTTTGAATGGGCCCAAAGCCAAGCCCACAACAACCAGTAGAGAAGGTCGCTTAACAAAATATACGAACCTCGCCACACAGCCGATTACAACTCAACTCAACCAAGCTAAGAGTGAGTCGACTCCCAGTTCTTGCCCTAGGTCTAGTCAAAAGACATCATTAATCGGCCAAGTCATGAGTGGAATTTTGTGTCAAATTCGAACTCATAGACGAAGCTCGCCAACTAGCGAACTTCGCTTATGGCAACTCAAGTGGACTATGTCATCCACTTCCAAAGAAGATTCACCCACGTCTTTAGCAAGCCTCGCTCATGTCTTCAGCGACCCTCGCCTACGCCTTTAGCGAACTTCGCCTACATCTTCAGTGAACTTCATCCAAACGTCTTCAGCAAACTTTGCCAAGTCAGAGAACCCCGCCAAACAGCTATTTGAGGGCTATTTTCAAGGGAGTAACCGTTTTCCACTATCTCCTATTTTAATGGCCACTTAATCTATAATTAAAAGTCATTAACTCTCTCTTTTAGCCTATAAAAGGAGAGAATATTACTCATTTTAACAAAGAAGCACATTTGTAGACCTAAAGATGGAGAAATTAACTCACAGAGAAAGATTTCTATTGTCGCACTTACAACTTAATTGAGTAGACACTACAACAGAAAAGCTAATCCGCGAGGAACAAGTTTGTCGTTGAAAGTCAAGATTTCCTCGCTGTAGTGTGTTGGCGAGGAAAAAACTTTGGTCACCATTTCCTCGCGGTAGGGTGGTCAAGAAAAGTTTCTGCGAGGAATATTATAATTTCTCGCGAAATCCTTTTTGCGATGAATATATTCTTTTCTCGTTGTTACTCTTTAGCCTCAATATTTTTCCTCACCTAATCTCATACCTTTTTCATCACTAAACTGTAGTTTCCTCGCCAATGATACGTGAATAATATTTAATTTATATATAATAAAAATTCTAAAAAACTATTTTCGTCGTTGTAAGTATCTTTCAGCGAGGAAATTATTCCTCACCAAAGGTAAATTTTTAACGAGGAAATTGATTTTCTTCATTATATGTATCTTTTTCTCGTGGAAACAGTTCCTCAGTAAAAAGACTCAAAAATGAGAAAATTTAAATTTATCGTTATAGGTTGTACCCTATATTCCTCGCCAAAGAAATTCAATTACGAGAAAATTTATATTTGTCGATATAGGTTATATGATCTATAGCGAGAAAACTTACTTTCATCATTATAGGTTATATCGCTATAGCGAGGAAATATGTTTTTGACGACGTAAGTTATATACTCTATAACGAGGATATATATTTTTGACGACGTAAATATGTAACCTATTGCGAGGAAACATATTTTCGTCACCTTAAGTTGTATTGTCTATTTCGAGGAAATTTACTTCCATCGACCTAAATATATAGCGAGAAAACTTATAATGAGAAAATTTTATTTCATCAATAATAATGCTATTACAAGAAAAAAGCTCAAAATATAAATAATTATCATCAATTGTCACCACAGTACACCAAAACAATTAAAATAAACAAAGCACGCAAGTTTCTACCATAAGTAACAATGCTAGTCTAAAGCAATAACAAATGCAACACGATCAAAGAAACATTTCTCCAAGTTTAAGTTCACTAAAAATACTAAGCTGATGGATGTTGCTTGGAAAAATTAGCCATAAACTCCTTAAACTTTTTGGCTCGCTCCTCCAATCTTTGGATTACCTCACGCATCGATCTTTTGTTGTTGAGTTCCTACAAGTTGTTGGGTCTCTTGAAGCTGTTCTTGCAACTCTTTATTCTTTTCAGACATTTCACTCATCGAAGAACGAGAGAACCTTAATAGTGGTGGTCTAGGGCCAAAACCACAACCCCTAATGTAGCTGATTTGACTTTAAGAACTTTTGCACAAATTTCCTCATCTGTAATTGTTCGAGTTCCATCAGGTTGAGTGGCATCTGCTCACATCTTTATCATTTGATCCTATAAGTAAAAAAATATGCAACTTCTCAATTACAACGATGTACCCATTAGTAGAAAAATGACCAAACTACACAGAATTGAGTTCCGTCTAGTTTGAGGCAACCTAGACGTAAGGTTGTTCCGTCTAATTTGAGGCATTCTAGACAGAAATTTCTGTCTAGAATGCCTCAAATTAGACGGAACAACCTTACGTCTAGGTTGCCTCAAACTAGACGGAACTCAATTCTGTGTAGTTTGGTCATTTTTCTACTAATGGGTACATCTTCTCACTGTTTATTATCAAACAATTAGAATGGTCAAATGCAAAAGAATGTAACATTCATCTATTTGAATCTCAAGATGAATAAACAATACAATAAGTGATTCTATGCAATACACGGATTCTAATCATTATCAAATAGTGGTAGTATTACTTATACAACTAAAAACAAAACTATAACTTTCTAATAGAGGAAACAAGACCTAGAAATCATACTAAAGTAATTAATAAGATGACTAATTTATAATAGCATGAGTTTCTATCATATGTCAAACTAAAACATCCCTTAGATAATAACCATAATGCCAAATTAAATGGGGTGCAACTTACAAGCTAAACAAACTACATTTGCAAATTATGAGTGAAATGCATAAAATAAGGCAATGTCATATTCCTGATTCGAAAGAAAATGAGAGTTTAGATATTCAAGGGGGGAAATGAGAGTTTAGATATTCTAAACAAACTCCATTTGATTTCAAAGTTTAAGAGTAAATACATGTGAAACAGAAGTATGAATGATGGTTCAATCCCATTAAAAACCATCTTTCAGTGTATATTCAATTGAGGAACTACTCACCTGAATACAAGTAAAAGGAGCTACTGAAAATAACCCTTTAAACTACAAAAATGAGAAATACTTTTTTTAATGCTCAGAAATTTGAAATATTTAAGCCACTACATCATCATCACCAGCCTTTATCAATGAGCCACAGCCAGTCAAGTACAACTCCTGAGAATATACCAGCAAGAAGAAAAGTGACAAGCAGATTTCCAAGTGCATTCTGCTCAGGTCCCTGTACAACAAAAAACCAGAACTTCTCTTCATAGTCACAATCAATAAACATAGTTTCAACTTTCAACTAACTATTGATATGCATTATTAGAATTTAGTTCACTGACCTTGTAACCTGTGGGTGCTTCAGTCATAACACAGACTGTAAGGTGACCATTTAAGAAAGATGTCAACAGTATCATCCAACCTTGGTCTCCATATTTTGCAGTAAGGTAGAATGCCGGAATTAGTAAGAAACGAGAAAGAATTACAGCCATCAGGCCTTTCCTTGATTTTATCCTTAAGACATTCTATTAGAGGTATATATCTTCCAATGAGATCTCATACGTTGCACATAGCAATCAAGACAAGTGCATACCTAATGACAGAGAAAACCACTTGCAATTGTACAAAACAAAAAATTGTACTGTTATGTTGTTATTAGGAAATAGGTGAATTTCACAAAACCTGCTTGAACTTTGGACGTCTGTCACAAAACCCCCTAAAATTTTTAAATCATTGAAACAGGTGCAGAGTAAACAAACTAAACAATTCCAGACAAATGCAAAAATAAATAAATAAATAAATAAATAAGCCAACTCCTAACAAAAGTGCACAAGAGAAACAACAATTAACAATAGAGAAGAATTTGCATGAAGCAAGAAAGAAGCAAAATTCAGGAAAAAAAATTAAACTTAGAATATGCATAAGGCAAAGGATTAGGTTCCCTCGATCATCGATCACCTCGAAATTGACGGTGACAGTGAGCTTGACGCTATCGGTGCTGACATAGGTCATTTCCAACGTCTCGCATCGATCCGATCGCAGCGGAGGAGGATAGAGGTTTGATCATGATGCTCCAATGCAAACACCTGACCAAGACTAGCCGCAGCTATAGGGCGATCTTCAAATTGTTTGAACAATACATCTATAGGCTCACCCAACTCGTTTTGTATGAAAGTTCTTGTTTTTTCAGGTGAAAATGCAGGTACCCTATCCTGCGACATATTGCCAAATTGCACAAAATCTGAATATACAAGTATTGCACTAAAGAACTAGCAAGAAAGCTGATGATTCAACATAAAAGCAACAAAAAGAGACAAATTGAAGTGGAAAAGATGTTCATGTAAACACATGCACACAAAAAATTGCTGCTGAGAAAGAGATGATATCAAAATTGAACAAGCAGCTATCTACATCTCCAGGCAAGTTTGTTACCTCAATCAACGGATTCACAATCCCCAACTTCGGCTGTAATAAACCCAATCCATTAATAATCGACCCGCCAAATAACAGTCCATGCTCCACCCTGTTTTCGGATCCTTATTGGATCCAATACTCCCGTTGCTCCACCCCGCCTCCATCTTCTCCAGCAATCCACAAAGGATTAGGTTCCCTCGATCATCGATCACCTCGAAATCGACGGGGCCAGTGAGCTTGACGTTGTCGGTGCTGACGTAGGTCACTTCCAACGTCTCGCAGTCGATCCGATCGCGACGGAGGAGGATAGAGGTTTAATCGGAGAAGGGGGTCTTTGAGCCGTTGATCTCGAGGCAGACTCCAATTGGACGGCGGAGATGAGTTAGGGTTAGAGATGAGTTAGGGTTAGGGATGAAGGAACGGTGTCGATCGAGCGCGGGGAGATACGGACGTAGAAGAGCCGGATCTCGAAGAAGGCGGAGCGGAGTTCATCGTTGCCGTCGCCGCCGAACTATCTCAGATCATTGAATTCAGGTTCTAGGGTTTAAGGATTTGGGGTTTGAGATGAAGAAGAGCATTGTTGACGAGCCTTTTGAAAATTTGGGGGAAACGTTTTATTAGAAGCGGGGTTTGGAAAATTTGGGAACCCGCTCAAATGAAAATAGAACAGGGATGTTATCTTAGGGGCTGTTTGTTTGTCTAAAAAAAGAGGGAAATCAAAGAATAGGAAATGTATTTCTTAGAATTTTTATTTTGAGATTGTTTGGTTAGAAAAAAAAAGAAGGAAATTAAAGAATAGGAGATGAGATGAGATGAGTTGTCGTCATATTATTGGATGATGTAAGTGATTTTTTAAGAAAACTTGTTTTGAGGTTGTTTGGTTGGCTAAAAAAATAAGGAAATGTATTATAAGAAACTTATTTCCTATAATATGTTCTTTTCTTGTGTTTGGTTCATTCTTAAAAATAAGAAAATATATGAGATGAGATGAGTTGTCATTATATTATTGGATGATGTGATCCACACTTGAGGAAATCAATTTCCTTGTTTTTTTGGAGGAAATGGGTGGAGATGAAAGTTTAAGGAGATGAGATGAGTTGTCACTATATTGTTGGATGATGTGATTGATTTTTAAATATGAGATGGGCTGAGATGAGATGAGTTGGATGATGTGATGATAAAAATAATATTTTATTAGATGTTGGATGATAAAAGTAATATTTTATTGGATGAGTTGGATGATAAAATAATATGTTATTAGATGAGTTGGATGATAAGATAATATTTTATTGAATGTTGGATGATAAAATAATATGTTATTAGATGAGTTGGATGATAAGATAATATTTTATTGAATGTTGGGGTAAGCTTTAGGGATGTAAATGGTTAAAAATAGGAAATGGGAGATTTCCATGCTCCCATTTCCTATTCTTGGTTTTTAGGAAACCAACCAAACAGCCCCTTAGACGGAATTGACGGTGTTTTGGTGGCGAGCCTTTTGGCACCTGGCATCCTTGATGGAATACATCGCCTAGGATGTTCCACTTAGGATGTTGAGATTTCTACTAGCATGGCCCACGATTGTTGACTTATATATGGACATTTGTTAGTCCATTGATATTAGAGGCCCGTTCTTTTCTTTGAGTACCCCCGCCTACTTTTTACCCAAATTCTCACTAAAATTTTCGCCAACGAATAATGAGGATATTATTATTTCCTCAATGATTGGTTTTTTAACAAAAAAATGATTTCTCGTAAAACAAAATCTTTTAGTGATGAAGCCTTAAATTTGTCGTCATTGAATTTGGCGGGTTTTGTACATTTTTTCGCCAAACTAATAATTGATGAAGCCTTAAATTTGTCGTCATTGAATTTGGCGGGTTTTGTACATTTTTTCGCCAAACTAATAATGAGAAAACTATTATTTCCTCGCTAATTGATTCTTTTAACGAGGAAAGGGATCCTTGTAAAACAATAAAATTTAGTGAGGAAACCTTCAATATGTCGTCAATGAATTTGGCGGGTGTTGCACATTTTTCTGCCAAATTGATAATGAGAAAACTATAATTTTATCGCTAATAGGTTCTTTTTGACGACAAACGGTTCCTTGTAAAACAAAAACTTTTAGCAATGAAGCCTTAAATTTGTTACTATTAAAATTGGCGGGTTTTGCACATTTTTCTGCCAAACTAATAATGAGGAAACTATTATTTCCTCGCTAATTGGTTTTTTAACGAGGAAACAGTTCCTCGTAAAACAAAAAATTTAGCGAGGAAACCTTTAATTTGTCGTCAATAAATATGACGGGCGTTGTAAATTTTTCTACCAAATTAATAGTGAGGAAACTATAATTTTCTTGCTAATAGGTTCTTTTTAACGAGGAAATGGTTCCTCGTAAAAACAAAAACTTTTAGCGATGAAGCCTTAAATTTGTCACCATTGAAATTGGCAGGTTCTTTTTTTCCCGCCAAACTAATAATGAGGAAACTATTATTTCCTCGCTAATTGATTCTTTTGATGAGGAAATGGTTCCTCGCAGATTATGGATCTTCAGCGAGGAAATCATACTTTGTCGCTGTTACATTTGGCGGGTTTTCCTCTATTTTCCGCCAAAAGAACATCGATGAAATGATTATTTCCTCGTTAAATGTGCATTTCGCGATAAAAAAGTTCATCACCAAAATATCATATTTCCTCACTAATAAAATAACTAGTTAGGAGACCAAATCATGATCATCTTTAGTGATGAACTAAAATTTCCATCGTAGAAGGTGGTCTACTGTGAGGAAAATATATTCCTCGTAGAAGACCTACTAATATTTACCGAGGAAACAATATTTTTCTCGTCGAAACTGATATTTGTTGAGGAAAATTAATTTCTCACTAAAAAGTTGGTCGCTAAAAGACATGTCTGTTATAGTGAGAGATGCCAAGAGAAGACTGAACTATCTTCCAAGTCATTGAACTCTCATCAGCAGCAAAAGACTCGTCGTCTTAATCGGTGTGTCAATGGAGTACAAAATTGATGTTCCATCGTCACACAGAAAAAACCCAAGGAAATATAATTTTTTTATTTCATTACAATCTTTTTATTATAATTTGAGCTAATTGCAATACAAAAAACCCAAAACAACTGAATTGAGCATGCCCTCTCCTCTTCAAAATCATCTTAGTTAATGGCACCCCGACCAATTCTTTCCAATGTTATCATGGCCTGAAATAAGGGGATCCACTATCCCCAATGCTATTCGTGCTTGTTGTTGATGTCCAAAAAATGCTATTTAATAGTACTTCTTTGGGGGACCTTTCTAATCTTACCCTAAAAGGAGATCTTAATCACATAGAACTTTACAATTTATAGGTGACAGCCTTATTTTCAATGGAGACTATAAACATGATCTCTCAATCTTTAAAACCGTCTTCTACATCTTTGAAAATATATCTAGTCTCAGCATAAACTATGCTAAAACAAATCTCCTCTACATTGGGAAAATCCCTCTCAAAGGGAATTATCTTGCCAATATCCTCAACTACTCTCCTAGTGCTCTTCCTTTCCATTACCTTAGCCTCCCCCTCAAGAAAGGCTCCCTCTCTAGATGAGACTGACAACCTCTATTAGAATCCTTTACCAATAAGCTATCCATGTGGAAAAACAAAGCTCTATCAATTGGTGGCAGATTAACTCTCCTCAACTATGTACTATGCTCTCCCACTATACTATATGTCATTTTTTAAATTACCAGTTTGGCTCACTAAGGCAATTGATAGGATTAGGAAAAAAAATTCTTATGGGGCGGTAATCAGCAAAATTCCAAATCTAAATGCTTAGTTAGATGGCAACATTGTTATCAAATCTAAAGAGGGAGGGGGGGGGGGGGTTGGTGTCCTCCTTAATATCTCTGTCTCCAACCAAGCTCTTCTCTCCAAAAGGTTATGAAAAATTCTTGAACGCAACTCCATTATCAATTGTGTCTTCAACTGTCTCTATTCTAGACATCAACCCAACCCTCTCTGGACACCTCCTAAGGGGTCAGCATCTAAGTTCTTTCATGATTTGCATTCTATTCTCCATACTTTTATCAGTCCAGTATAGTGAATGTTAGGTGATGGGGCTACTATTTGCTTCTGGGAGGATAAGTGGACTAGGCATAACTTATTATGTAGCATATTCCCCAAAGCTTATCATCTAGCTTTCTCAGATAATGCAAATGTTTGCTCACAAGGTTATTACCACAACAACACTTGGATGTGACACACTCTGCTTAGAAGAGGATCATCCCCGACTGAGAGGGAAGAGATAAATGCTCTGTATCTCCTCCTTGAGTCTAGCAATAGACCAGAACAACAATCAAGATAATTTATGGTGGCCCATGCTCACCTCAGGAAAATTTTCAGTTAAATCTTATTTTTTTTCTTAATCAACTGCGGAGGATGCTTCTCTAACACATACTCTTTTATTTTGAATTTATCATTCCTAATAAGGTGAAAATCTTTTCACACCAAAAGGAGACCCAAGATAAAGAGTATTTGTCAAACAAGAGATGGACATGTGACATAAAATACTCCTTTTGTAACCTAGAACCTGAATCAGATAGTCATATTTTTTTCCTCATTCACCAAAGCAATATGGTCTCTTTTTCTCCCCTGCTTACCTTCTATGCAATTTTTCCTTATTTTTGCATGTGGATAATGGAGGTAAAAAGCTATGCACAAATGTTGGTTCTAATTAGAGATCAAAATATTTAACTTTAGGTTGGGCTTGGTCACCTCATGCTTCCATACACAAATTGGCTATCAGATAGGAAGTGCAAAGAATTTTTTTCACAATTTTGAGGTTGGGCACTTCAACATGGCTCCGCCACTGAGCTTGGGTTTCAGTCAGAAAATCTTCATAATTTGCTAAGGTTTCTCTCATATTCCAAAGAAATTGACTACAGTGTTTGATCTCTTTGAATGTTAATAGGTTTGGTCTTCGAGTTATTCACTACGACCAACTTCACAGTTAAGTTCGCTTATCAAATTATAATCCAACAAAATTCAGTGTAATGGTTTCTGTAAATAATTATTAGAAACCAATTCAAATTCCAATGTCTCCCTTTCATTGTTAGATTAGTGGTTGGATTTAATCTTCTCTAATTAGGTGTTAATTGGAGAGTATCCAATTTTTGAAATCCCTACCATTCATCCTAAATTTTAAGGGATGAGATTATGCCACGTAGGATTTTTAATATTGTGATAGCGATTTTGTTAATAGTGATTTTTAAGACAATAGCGGTTTTCAAGGTAATGGTGATAATCCTACATGGCATCATCTTATCCTTTAAATTTGGAGTAGAGGGCAAGTTTTGAAATAATTGAACACTTTCCAATTATCATCCAATTGGAGAGGATCCGTATCCTCAGTAGTTTGATGATTATTTACATAATAACAAGAAAGGTTTAGTCTTATTTAGTTATAAGTTAGACATTACTTCTATTATAATTAACCAACGTAACCATCGATTTTTCTGACCCACAGCATAATTTGTAGATAAAAATCTCGTGTAACCTAGTGAATCTTAATTAAGAAAGTGACAATAAATTTGATTAAATTGTAGAAAAGCATTAGGTTTAATTGTTTCTATTTCTAACAAAAATAGAAAATTTGCCAAAGTTCAATGCTCTAACCATTCAAGAACTCTAAAGAAAGTAATAACTGAGTTCAGTTACGAACTGACAACTGTTGTCGTTTTTCTTTAATCAAACCATAATCTCTTTTATGATATCGAGAATGAAGTGGGACATGACATAATATCACGACTTAAGGCCGGTTTGGATTTTTTTTTAGAATGCTTCTGCTTAATTTTTTAAGAAACATTCAATAATGGTGTTTGATAAAAAAAAAATTTTGCATGCTTCTTAAAACTGTCACTGGTGGGGATGCTTATAAAACCAACTTCTGCAATTTATTTTATAAATTATAGGTACCATTTAGCTTTTAACAATAAAATTTAAGCCCATTTTTGTCAATCAACTTAACTATTTTTCTATTTGTAACGAAAAAGAAAGTTGTTATCTATGGTCTTAACTCAAACCATAGTACTCATGTTGAGCCAAAGTCAAAGCCAACTCATAATTGTAAAATAAAACATGCTTATGTCAAGACAACTCAAACAACTCAATTCATCCTAATCTTGCAATGCGGATTCCACTTTACTTCAAATCCTTTTCACTTTTACATTGACTTGGAAATAAAACTTTTTAACTTTTTGGAAGTGCAAGGAAACTCGCTTCCCCAAAAGAGCCCCTCGTGTAGTCTTCAAGCAAAATCTACACAAGAACCCCTCTTTTTCTCTGCAGGGGCATCTGGGGAGCAATATCTCTAAAAGACCGCTTCAAACCCGAGCATGGCCATTCTGGGAAATAAATTGGAGAATTTTCGCAAGCCCCCTCATACTCTACCGTTCACAAATCAGTCCTTCCCAAAATGCCCCTGCTCTCAACTGCTCCCCTCTTTTCTTTCTCTATAAAATCCCCCAAAAACCCATCTCCCAAATTCTCCCAATCTCTCCTCTCCTTCCCTCTTTCGATAATTTGATTGGATTATTTTTAATTTTTTTGGGCAATGCCTGGCCCTAACATTGAGATGATAGCAAAATCTCTAAGGAATTGTTCTCTGAGTGGAAGAAGCAGGGGAGGCCGCTCACCGGCTGTGAGATCACCGCCTCCTCAGCGTAGGAGCGGTGAGGTTACCGTGGAGCTCAACTCTGAGGTCGCGTTGCCTTATCATTGGGAGCAATGCCTTGACATGAGAGTATGACCTTTCTATTTTTTTTTATCCTTAAATGCCCCTGCCATTATTCTTGATTCTTTTTGTTCTTCTTCCAATCATTGATCATAAATGAAACTAACCCAGGTTTCAAAATCTGATCTTTTTCGCTTTTATGATGATGGTTGTTGTGATCTTTGTACCTTATTTATGGTTCATGAAAACAGAGTGAGCTCTTTATGAGATTCATTTTTTTTAGGTTTTACATTTTATTATTATTATTTTTCTTTTTGAGGTTTAGAATAATTCTTAAAGGTAAAAGCTTTACTATAGAAAATTCCTGATTTACTACAGTTTGATCCAAAATGGTATTCTCTTTTAGGCATTTTTATCTATTTCTCATTAAACAAATCTATATTTTAGCACTTTTATCTCCCTAGGTTTGTACCCATTAACTATAATGGTTCACATCCAATTTATCTTACTCATAGTATCCATTTTTTCGGTTATAAAAAAAGATCCATTTTTTGGTATAAAAAGAAAATCCATTTTTTGGTATAAAAAGAAAATCCATTTTTTCTCTTAAAAGGAAACAATTATTTGAAAGTTAAATTTGTATTTTCTCTCCTTTTATGGTTTATTCCCCTTCCTAACTCCCTTTTGCTATTTCAGTACCAAATCCTATTCATTTACTCCATTTGTTTGCTAGCTTATCTTTTCACTTTCGCCCACGAAAATTTTCCATAATTTAACGCACCCTTTTCCTTGAAAAAGCAAATAAACACCAGTTTTTGGCTTACGAAACCAACAACCCAAATTCTCAATCAGATTTTCTTTTATAAGTAGAGGCTACATAAATTTAGTGTTAAGGACTATCGAATCATTTCTACTAATATGTATATATTTTTTAAATAAATCTTTCATAAAATGTTTCAAGTCGATCACTTAAATGTTGGACTGTTTTCTATTAAGCAACTATCATAATTTTGTTTCCTTTCCATCAATTTTTGTAGAGTACAGATGCATGAATTTAGAGCATGATCTCAAATAAAGTTAAGAACTATCCTTGTATCTGTGTAAGTGTTGGAAGTTTTTTCGGAGTCCCCTGCCTCATCTTTTCAATTAAGTTATAAGAATTATCGTTCGTGTACGTAAACATCAGTAGGATGAATCATGAGAATTTAAAGTTATTCTATCCAAACTTAAACTATTATCGTACCCTTCTTAATTTCCAATCCAGACCGGAGAAATATACTATAGGAATTGGACCACTGGAAAAACAACCACCACCGATCCTCGCCACGCCGCCCTGGACTACCGCTCCTCATCCTCCGACGATGACAGCTCTGACGATGGTGACGAAAGCTCAAACGAAGGCGAAAGAGACAATTACTTCAGTTCAGGAGACTCTTCCACTACCTCCTCCTCCTCCTCCTCGGCCTCCTCCGCTGCCTACGCTCCGCCCGAAGTCACTTCCGGCCAAGTCCTGGTGGCCGCCGGATGCAAGTACTGCTTCATGTACTTCATGGTTCCGAAGCAGGACCCCGACTGCCCCAAATGTGGCCGGGTCTTGCTCCACCTTGGCCGTAGCAATGGCTAGCTGCTTGTGAGAGGATTCGGGTCTCGGTTTTTTTGGGGTTTCGGGCAAAAACCCGGATGTTTTTTCATTGCTAGTGATAGAGATGAATCTATTAACATTGAATAATTTAAAGTGCTTTGTTTTCTGACTTCCTGCGATTTTTTTGATTAAAGAATGAGTAATTCTTTTTAGAAAACTACGGTGTTGTCCATAAATACTATAAACTGATATTATTGGAGAAGACTATTGTTTTGTTTTATTAGATAGACTATCTTATTTATCGTATTCGTAGGGATGCAAAACAGTATGTATATCCAGTGGGACATAGAAATATAAATATGCGCGAGTAAGTTTGCAATTTTGAACGACACAAATAATTAAAGGGTATATATGTATTAATATGAGTATGATATATCTGGATTCGTATGTAGATCAGTCAATTAAATAATTTTGGTCTCTGATTAACTTGTGATCGATTCTAGAGACCCAAAAATAAGATTTAAAAAAAAAATCTAATTTTAGCTTTTATGTTGTTGAATACACCGATCAAATCCGGTTTCGTGAGTATTGATTTAGACAATTTTTTAGTACGTGGTCTCAAAATCTTTAGGTCTTATTTGTTTCTACTATATTACTTTTATGTTTTCCATTATATGATCAATATGTGTCTATGTATTATCTTATCTGATCTGAACCTATATCCAAATTCAGTAGATATGTACATGATTTTATTTTCCTTCCGGACTCATGTTCACGTTTGTATTCATGATTATTTAGTGAGCAGAAGCAAACGTGACGCATATAATAATAGAATAGGATGTGCCTTTTTCTTGGTTATTTTTATCTAATTTAGATTGTATGACTATTTCTCTAGCCGTAGCTGCTTCTTTGTTCCCGAAATGTTGTTAGTACTAATGACGAATGACAATAATGAATAACATAGTTTTGTTCTTCCCTAAAATTCTGCAATTTTTTAATTTTATGAATAAAAAATTTGTGGAATGATTCTCTGCTCTGGATTGAAATTGTCATTTAGTGGAGAGAAGCATGCAAGAAATCAGGTTAAGATTCTGATTCGTTTCTCCGTTTCTCTCTCTCTCTCTCTCTGCCAACATCATACAAAGCTGCTAGCTGTGCAAATGGATGCTCACATTCACAGCTGGCTTTTGCTTCTTCTAAAATTTTCTAGTCAAAGGTCTTTCCAATTATCAGATGGGTTTAAGCTGTTTAAATTTTTTTGGATTTGTGCTAGAAATCTTATCCTTAATTTATTGGGGGCAAAGCTGTTTGGTTGTATGTTTTTACCATGTAAAAGGATGGAAAGTGTAAAAAAATGGGTCCTAATGTCAGCTTTCATCACTTTCAATTGTTTGTTTGTAGTTGTGAAAATAGTGTAAAGTGATTTCATATGCTGATGTGGCTTGTAAAGTGATTTCATAAAAAAAAGACATGATTTTAGGAGAAAGCTGACATTGAAATCAGGAAAAAATAATAAAAAATAATTCCAACCAATATGATCATTTGTGTAGGGATCACTTTTTACACTTTTCAAACAAACAATTAAAGTTACATTTACAAACCAAACAAGCAATTTATGATTCCAATGGAATCAAAAACAAACAAAGAAAAGTATATAAGTAAAATTGATGAGGTGGACAACAACTTTCCAAAGTTGTGTCATAAATACACAACTTTACCAATAACAACCAAACAGCCCCTTAAGGTGGTTACTGAATTCTTTCCTTGAGAATTATTTGTCATTGGAGAGACTAATTTATTTAAATTGTCCCTAAAATGAATTAAATGTAGATCATATATGTAAAGATGTGTGTGAGTATAAATGCAAATATGATAAAGTAAGAAAAGTCATAATTTGTCACAATCAAATACAAATAGAGGAAAACAAAATGTAGATGAGTATATATGTTTGAGATTCTCTACATTATTGATCATAGAGAATTCGTAAAACATAGGTTTGTCGTTCAATAGTGCTGGTTGCCCCCTTAATCAAATTTTTTTATATAAATATCACCCATGGGGTCACAGAACGAAGAGATATTATTGGTGAACTATAGAGTCTCTTTACAATCAAGGATGTAATTGATATTAATATTGAATATGAGAAAAATTGTTAAAGAATTCAAATGTTTGCTGCAACTGATTCTATCTTGATGTAGCCGGATCCTGTCATCTAGGGATATTTGGTTCTTTTAATTCATCTTGTAACAATATCTAACATTATATATACCACCTTGACAACAATAATAAAATTATTACATTCTCTCTTACATATTTTCTAACATTTATAGCACGTAAGATTTGAAATCCTGGTGTTCGTATGATAACATGCAATAGTTGTGTAATAAAGCATATTATCCGGAATCACCTTTCATTTCAACACTCTAGGTTAGGCAGATGGGATCGAACATGAATTAGAGGAGTGTTGGTAGTATTACGCAGTACTACGAGCACGCTATCAGGCCACCTGCATGCGTTACTTGTGGTGGATACCGATACCTTTTTTGTACTAAAAATGTCAATAACAAATAAATAATCACAATATTATACAATATTAGAAAGCTAGTAATCAAATACAACCATGAATCATCAGTAAGAATTTGCAGCATGGTTATTGAGAACAGGTAAATTAAGTATAGTAGTAGAGATTGCAGTTATTGAGAACAGGTAAATTAAGAATAATTGTAGAGATCTTCAATCTGCATCAGAAGCAAAAGCATGCAACTCAACTGCCCCTTGCAAACCTTAGAAGGAGAAAGAACATCTTTTAACTAAGAAAAGGTATTTAAGTATTGAGGGTAAAAAAAATAAAAAATCCCCAGATGAAAAAACACACCGCTCTTAAAGCTTGTAGACTGTGAAAGGGAATAAAGGTGCTCTAAGATGAGAGACACAAAGGAACCTTTCCTCGGTTGGTAGCAGTGGAATCTATTCAGAGAGTAGAGTGCACCCAGAGGCCCAGCGTGCCCCAAAAGAACAACACACAAATATTAAGAGAGAGAGAGAGAGAGAGAGAGAGAGAACAACACAAATGTTAGAGAGAGACAGAAGGTGAGTGAGAGAGAGAGAGAGAGAGAGAACCATCTCTATCTCTCAGATCTTTACTTTTAGGTTGCAGCTACTTTTTGATTGCATGTGAGCATACTGATCATACACAGTGATCGTCTGCATGCACTGCGAGAGCTTAGAAAAAAGTCCTATAGAAAATCATATAATTAATAGGGGTTTTTGTTTTTGGGCCCATTTGTTTACTTCACTTTATCTTTAAACCCACCCATTATTATTTGTATCTCTAAGCCCAACTCATTTTTTGTATTTATCTTTAAACCCAATATCCAAAATACAATACTTTTAGCACTTGTATTTATACAGAATTAAGGTAAAAACCCCAAAATACCCTTTTCCCCAAATAAAGCAGTATCTCTCCTCAAAATCCCATTGTCACCTTAGCCCTAAATTAAAAAAACGAATGCCCTTGCCTTTGTCGCTCGTCTCCAGCCTCCATGACCCGTCTCCAGCCGTCGGCGCTGTCGCCGTTGCCGTCGACCTCGCGATCGGTCGTTGCCATCGACCTCTTAGTTGCTCCGTCGCCCCGTTTCCGTCCCAGATCTCGCCGATCTCGCCGTCGACCTCTCATGTAAGGAAATGAAAATCCGATAAATTTTTTGAACCAATTTGTCTTGTCGAAATTCTCAGACTTCTGTCTTTAACTTTCAAAATCATCATCTGACTACAGAATCGAACTCTAATTGAAAAGAATATCCTGAGATTTAACATGTTTACAATCTTACATAGCACAGGCAATTGTGATTTTATATTGGATATTATATTCAAGATTGTCATGGAGCTGGAAAAGGCTGACTCTTTCTTTTACCATAGCAAAGGGTTCTACTCTTAATGTGAGATTTGTAAGTATAGATTAGTTCAGACAGAGATATCATAGGCAATTCTGTTTTTTCTTATCAATAATCTTCTATAGGATTTCATTGAGCATAATTTCCTATTTTGTTGTTTTTTATTTTTCAAGTGAGATGAAGGATCTACAACAGCCATTATATTGCAGTAAAAAAATATTTACAAAAAGCTAGAATCAACCAGAAAGGAAAAGGGAAAAGGTAAAGAGAAAAGAAAAGGTTCCATTGCATATTACATAAAGATATCATATAAACTAATTATTCCACTCTTTTATTTTATGCAAAAGAAAGGGGACTGTTGAAGCGTTTATATTGTTTTGAATTCATGACTTTATAACTGAGGAATGATATTGGTTTTCTTACATTTTTTAGAAATTCATAATTTATTGCATATAGTTGTTTTTTATGCAAAATATTCAGTCATAATTCTGGGACTTCAACGTGATCATCAAGACCCCGGATGTTAGATTTTAACATCTGATACAAAATTCTGTTATTGTACATATGTTAACATTTGATACGAAAGTTTGTTATTGTACATATGTTGTTGTGCATATGCTAACATTTGATACAAAAGCTATATTTGTTAACATTTGATATAAAAATATTACCAAAAGAAAAGGAAATGAAAAAATGTTGCTGGATATTCGAGAATTGAGATTGTTACAATTTTGAAATCATAGGCTTTGAAATTTGTTTTAATGAAGGAATTATGTATAATATTGATAGACAACTAAAGTTGCTTTATGTTTTATGGTTGCAGAAAATTTGATGTCATGGCTTTAGTACGAATTCTATCCAGTGTTGGGTACTTCCGGGACCTTCTTCAAAATCAAATTTTTGCTAATTTGTCGGAAGATCAACGACCTGCTAGATGCCAAATGTGATATAAATAGTTAACCAAGTGTAAACATATGTTTGGAAATTGATTTGTAAAGTATTTGTATTATTGTATGTTTGTCAGTATGAACATATGTTTCTCATTATGAAACATATGGGACTGTTGTTGGAATACAGTTTGTCATGCAAGTTGTATATAGTTTGTTTGTCATTATGAAACATATGTTTGTATGAATGTTGAATATAGTTTGTCAATTGCATTCTTCGGTTAAATTACTGTTGTTATGTGGCATTGTTAGTATGACTGTTGTTATGTTTTTATGTGGCTTTTGTAAGTATACCACGTTAACCAGTAAGTATAACATGTTATTATGTA